GGGGGGTTTTTTTTTTGGGGGCCGGGGGGGGGGGGGGCCCCCTTTAAAAAGGGGGGGGGGGGGGCCCGGCTTTTTTCCCCCGGGCCTTTTTTTGAACCCCAAAATTGGGGTTTTTGGGGCCGCCCAAAAAATTCCCTTTTTTTTGTTTCCCCCCGGGTTGGGGGGAACCCCCCCGGGGGGGGGTTTTTTTTGGGGGGGGGGGTTTCCGGGCTTTAAGGGTTTTTTTTTTTTTAAAAGGGCCGGGGCCTTTGGGGGGTTTTCCCTTTTTGGGGCCCCCCCCCCCCCCCCCCCCCCCCCCCCCGCGCCCCTCTCCGTACGCACCCTTTTTCCCGTTCACACAACACCCCGCGATGCAGGTGGAAACCTTGCGTGTTCGATCAGCCTCGCTCTACGCAGAGCTGGCCGAGGCATCTGCGCAGAGGAAGCGAGAGGCACGGCAGGCGCGCAAGGGAGCACAAGTGGCCAACCAGGAGAAGGTGGTTGGACGAGTTGAAGGGCTTTTTTTTCGTTTATAGCTATGGTGACGACCATTGAGCGTTGTGTGTTTGGTGCACCGTACTAATGTACACCGCATCTTAGCATATTCTTGCGTTAACCCAACGCCCCCCCCCCCCTTCTGTTATGCAAGCCACCCTTGAACCTTACATGGGGAAAATGACCTCCCCGGAGGAAAGTACCCAGTACAGCAGCTGGGGCAAGTTGAGAGAAGAAACGGTCGTGGGACGCTTGGGTTGGTTACCATGCAGATCGCCTGGCACAAACTTGGGGTACTTGTGCTAAGGGTGTTGAACTTGGCTCCAGGCTATGAGCCCGTGTTGGAGGCACTTTTTAGTGTCGGTGAGCCGGCAAAAGAGTTGAAAGACACCAGACCCTCAACAAGTACTAGGATTGGGAAGTCCCAGTAATTTGAAAGCATCCCACTTCAAACACAAAGAACGAGATAGTCTCGAAAGAGATAGGGAGGGAGACGACGAGGCACAAAGGGTGGAGAAGGAGAGAATGG